ACTTGCCTATGTCACACGAGCGAATTTCTCCAAACGACCCGAACGCTGCAATGATGTCCGATTGGGGAATAGAGAGGTCAGCCCGACTGAGGAGTATGGAACTGAACGACGGTTTGCCAGCCGTTTCGTGTGTTAAGAGAAACCGTCGCTGGAAGAAATTCGCGCCAAATCTACATCGAGACAAGGCGAACATGAAAAAGGACGCCTCAGAGGATTGTCGAGGTCAAGGTGGTTTCCCCTACTACTGGCAGGCTCACCTGAGGTAAGGTGGTGGCTGGTCCCGTGACCAGCTAGCCATTCGAACCCATCCAACCCTCATCTCATAGTACTTCGTCTCACTGGAATTACCAACAGCATATTGGACCACACTGGAACTTTTGAATGACCGAAGGCTTGCTCTGCAGACATTGCGGCCACCGTTGGACTTTGGCTGAACTCTTTGGCCGTACCGCCCTTCAGCGTTAGTCGTCTCGCTGCTTCTCATCGCAAATACTCAGCTTGACAAAGATTCAAATACGCCTTCGCTGCTTACAATAAATCGTGCAATTTCATTAAGCCCAAGTACATCTTTTACTAGTCAATTTGTCGGTCGACAATCAAGCACATATTGCCGTAGACGGTTGACATCGAAGCCTCATTTCCATAACAGATGTAGTTGGCTGAGACCTTGTTGATGTAGGTCGGCGAAGTGACCCAAGTGACTTGTTCATGTTCCTCTACCTGGTATATCATCTGTTCATCGCCATCTTCATCTTCATATTCTTCGCCTTTTTCCGCGCTGACAACGACGCCCCCTGTTTCCTTCAGGACTTCGACGAGCTCCTCTGAGCTTTCGATCTGCCAATGACGAGTCAAATCCAGAAACTCGTACATTAGGACCTCTGCCTTTCCCTCATAAGTGTCACCACAGCCATAGATGACAGCAAGTTTCGGGCCTAGATTGAGCTCCTGGCAGGCCCGGTAAAGTTTGGCATCGTTTCCTTTCAGTATCTGGTGCAACGATTGCAGCTTCTGGCCACTGGCGTAAGGATATTCGTATTGGAGACCGAAACCCAGCTTCCCCCCCTTGGCCAGGAAGGAATTGTTGCTCAAAAGGCGCTGGAGAGTAGCTTGGAGTGGTGCCTGGATAGAGTTTTCGATGTTGTACGTTTTCTTGGCTGAACTTTCCATATACAGGTTGTAGGTCAAGGTGATTCGATAACCAGACATCACTGGCAGAACTTCGTGTTCGATGTCGCTGTAAAAGGCAACATAGGCGACCGAGGGCTTTTCGCTGGACCCCAAAAGTTGAGCAGAGTCAAAGGTCCATGGCTCTCCCTTGTGACGAAGGATAAGGCCGCCACCTTCGTGAGCAGTGGAAAAGACGATGACTAGAGAGGCAATCATATTATTTCCCCTTGGCGTATCTTTGTGGGCCTTGAAGAAAGCCCCGGTGTCTTGAAGAGAGTCAATAAACGTCGAGACTCGATGGTTTGCTCTTACCGTAGATGTTCAGCTTGTAAAGTTCAGCTCGCATATCGGCCTTGGAATCGGGAGCCAGCTCTGCTTTGACATGATCCATGATACCAGATGCAGCCAAATCAAAGCGACTGGAGAACTGAGACGAATCCAGCTTCATCGCCCTGCGATACGATTCGTCCAAGACATCGTCTCCTCCTAGACCGAATGTTGCCGGCTGACATGCCTCGGAGAATGCCTTCAGCTCATCCACAGTAGCATTGCCAAGGTCAATAAATCTAAGGGATATATAAGGATCATGGTGATAATCATATAGAAAAATTTTACCGTGCATTGTGCTCAGCTTCAGCTCCAAATCGATAGAAAAGGCCCAAGTTATCGACATCGAATTGACCAGAGCAGTAAGCATTGGGTGTCTTGACAAGCTCTTGAAGTTGTGCAATATCTTTGTCATAGTCCATGGTGACAGAAATGAAGAAGTACTATAGGAAGGAGTGGAACAAAGGGGGCGCTTTTTATCCCGTCTATCTCGTGACCGCGTGCCGAAATCCCGACGCCGCTCCCGATGCGCGCAAGCTCTGACTCGGAAGGACTCAATGCCGACGCGGCGGGCGAAAAAGACAAATTACGATCGATAACTAGGGTATTACTGTACCGACTTTGAAATAACAAATAGTAAAATTAGAGATTAGGATACAAAATTGAGAGCTCCCATTCGTTCAAATCAACACCGAAGCAGCCTTTGTCGAGAGCAGGTCGACCAGTTTTTCCGTGATACGGAGTACCTCCCAATTGCGTCAGCATATACTGAGTAGCTGTAGCCGTATCAAAAGTGTTCGGATTCGGATGAATGAAGATCTGGAGCGTCGATTTTTCGGTACTTGTCTTTCTGAATGAGCCAATGCTCAAGAGCTTTTTCAGCGCTTCCCAGTCAAACTCGGCAAGAGTCTGGCGTGCATGATCTACTGGGTCTATGGTGGAATGAGGCGCGGTAACCAGGAATTCGAGCCGAATCGCTCTGGTCCCTTTACCGACAAACATGTTGAAAAGCTGCGGGATTCCGATGTTGACGGCTCGAGACATCGGATCGCCAGGTCGAAGGAGAAGTTGTTTCACCGTGAGGGACTGTAGCTTTGGAAAATGCGAGACTATTGGCTGCTCATGTCGCGCAGCGAGAAAGGTTTGGAAAATTTCGCCACATTCTATGGCGGTGGTCCAAACGGGAGACCAGAGCACCAAATCTAGGATACGGCTTCTGTACCTTGCAAGGCATCGACTGATTGATGCAGCTTGCACAGCCGTAGAAGTCGTCAGTTGGATCGAAGACAGAAAGAGCGAAGGGCAAGTTTCGAGCCAATCGACGATATCCTGAAGGTGATCTCCCTTTCGAACCCATCCGAGATTGATCCTGGTCGGGTTTCGATAGTCAATGACTGGGAGCTCGTCGATACAAATCAGCCTTCCATATGTCCACCCAACTCGCTGAACCTCTATCACCAAACCCTTTCGATTTCCGACCTGACTAATCATCGAAGATATCAACTTTGCAAAGTCGGTGAAACGTAGAAAATGTAAGGATGCAAGAGTTATGGACGTGATATTGTTGAAAGAGATCTGGAAGAATGCCTGGATGGTCCAGTCTGGGACGGCCTCGAAATCGGTCTTTCGAATTGTGAAGGAAGTGGTGGATGGAAGACAGGCCAGGATCTGTGGCAACAGCTGGATGGCCCTTTCCACATCGGACACTTTTTCCAGTCGACAATGGGACATATGACCCACTGAGAGGACCTGGACAAAAGGAGCGAGAGTCCGAGTGGACATTGAAGACTGGAGAATGCTAAACAGTTTGACGAGACGCTGAGCAGATAGGTTTACTGAGAGAACTCGGAAAAGGTGATAACGAGCTCGAGGTAATGTGTTTCGCGAGACGAGACTGAACGCGAAAAGCGTTGGATTGTCCTGGACATGGTCCACGATAACCTCGAACAGTTCTGGTGGCAACATGGGCTTTGGAGAAGATCTGGGCCAGTGCTATATAATTGGCCGGATTTAGATGCGGCGGATTTACTCCCCAATAGGCTTTGTCCTTAATGTTGGCTTCAGGCTCCTTGCGGCGGTCGTGGCGGGAGCTTACCTGGCTTCCGAATACCTTTCGGGTGCATCCGAGAACAGGAGGTCAGTGACGCACTGCTCTTTTGAATTGGCAGCCAGTCCGATCATCAACGTCTACCTGAAAGAAATTGAGATTCAGAACAACAGCATCACAAGAAAATGACGATACCCTGAGCAAGAAAGGCTGTTATGCCAGTGTATTCAACGATGAGCTCATCGCTTAGTCTGAATGGCTCTATACCTAGGTCAGAGAGGTGGAATTGAAGTAACCCAGCAAGCTAATGGTGCCAGTGCTTTCAACCTCCCATAACTTGGCTCGGATCTTGAGCTTGCCGTTGTGAGCTCAGCGCTCATCGTCGTTGTCGCCAGCGGTATCGACGGTCACATGACTCTGCTGATGCAACTCAAGCTAAGCTGCGCCAATGAGTCGTTTAGCCATATCCCCAATTTGAAAGACATCTTTGAAAGCCTCATTTTCTTTCTCTCATAATGTCTTCTTCACAAATGAGAAATGAAAGAATTGCGACTCAAAGGTTTCCACGCCACCGAGTGTCAGACTAGATGATTGGGTAGGAAGCTTTAATAGGATTAGTATGGAAACTGCATAACTTATCGCCGACTCGGGGAAATCCAAGCACCTAAGCATATACTTGTACCTTGATTTCCAAATGCAAACAGGCAAACTGTTGTCGGTGAGTGACAAGTTTTAGAGATGATTCAATTGTTACGGAACCCCCAAGGTGAGTAACCCGGGACACTCAACTCTATTTTGAAGCATATGCCTTGTGAAACACCGAGAGAACGGATTCATTCAGCCGCTGAAATCAAACAGGTTGAAGGTCACATTGTGGCAATCCTCTGAACGCGACCTAAAATCACTGTTAAAAATGAGCTATGACGCGTTTGATTGCATCTAGTCTCCTCCATCGTGGATCCAAGTAGGATATCGGCCTGTCAATCAGTCCGCTTGAAAGGAGGGACCTCTCTATCTAGATACTCTGATTCTCCTAACCGACTCAGGCGTCCGAGACCGCCATGAAACAATGTAAGTAAAAGACGTGTAAATAGACTCAGAAGAGTTACCGAGCAAGACCTTGTCCCCGTTTCGCCGTGGAGGGCACTGGATCGTAGGGGGAGTTCTTCGAATGATTCATTGAGTCTCTCTGGAACGACTCAAATCATTAACCTCCAAGTAGAATGGGTAGATGCGATCAAAACTCTATGCCTCTACTATGAGAATTCCACGCTCAGGGGCCGGAATTCAGAGAGCCGGCAGCAAACTATTCAGAAAAATCGGACGTAGCAAGGATAATGCGTCACTGACAAGTACTCCAGACAGTGAGGCCAAGCTAATGATAGTTTGTACAGGAACTGTGGTAAGTGGTGGAACAGAGATACTAAAAAGTGCTTTAAAAGCCAGGAAAATTAAGCGACGCCAGCAGGATTTGAACCTGCGCCCTCAAAGAGGAACAGATGGAACCAAGAGCAAGTTCGAATCTGTCGCCGTAACCACTTGGCTATAGCGCCCTAAGGAACAGCTCAAATGTGGCCTTCCTGAGGTTTCGGCATAGACAATTGTCCAGAGAGATTTCCGAAGGATGCGAGATAAAAATGAGCTGATTGTTCGGCGCTAGTGAAGGTATCTGACATGATGGACAGTTCGGATTCTAAGGCGCTATAGCCAAGTGGTTACGGCGACAGATTAGAATACTCCCTCCCTGTTTTCATCTGTTCCTCTTTGAGGGCGCAGGTTCAAATCCTGCTGGCGTCGCTTTACTTTTTCAACTTTTTCTACTCGGGTTCCTCATTCTTGCTGTCTCAGTCACCTCAGCGTACCTTGGAAAAGTTATCATTATGCTTAGTTTGTCGCCATTCATTATTGAGCTGGATTCCCCGACAGTCTTTCGTAAGTCCAAACCGCTTTGCCGTCTAGTCTGGATCCTCCAGTACCAAGACCCTACAATGTAGTACATCATTTCCAAATACAATTTTGTTGGGGTACCCGACCACCCTAAGAAAACATTGAATGTAAAACTATTCATACATTGTTACAGCATATCTCATGCTCTTTACCAGTGCTGTGCATACGGTGCCTTTTCTTCACGAGGTGACAAACCCTGGATAACTTTAGAAAAACACAACTGGAATTGAAAAGAACCAAGACTCACATAGCCAGGAGGTCGAGCAGCCTCAATGATTCCTGGCTCTTCCCAGAGATATTTCCTGGATCGCTGGCTGTTGCTCTGAAAGTCACGTTAGGCAACTGTTAGACCAAAGGACATGAACATACGCGTTGAGGCGATGTGAAAGCCGTATTACTTGTGGGTCCCAGTGGTAAGCTTGCGATTGAGAAAGAGCCTGTGACGACTTCATCGCCACCCGTATCTGAGCGTCGAGCGTTCAGCATGGCTAGGAAACTTCCGACATAAACTGTTACAAGGCGATTAATTTCGGGAATTGCGACGAAGAGAAAGAGTTACGCTTGGTCACAAGGAATTCGAGACCCAAATAAATGAGTGTGTTCGGCATCAAAGTGAACTGCAAATAGTCAACATATGGATCGTTTCTTGGACGGTGTAACGCACAGTGAATAAACAGCCCAAAGAGCAGGCTGTGGTGATCAGTCCAGACCCGAGACTGTATTGCATCACATTAGAGATCCGAGAATTCAGACTGAAACGATACAAGTTAGGGAACAGACTTTGTACAGAACAAGAAAACATACCGGGTGGCGACTCCTTGACTTTTACGGAGATACCAACACATGGCCATGGAGAGAACAAAATCGATGCCCGTGCTAGCAGCAAACGAAGCGTCAACGGCCCACTTCGGAGCAAAAACATCAGATGAAACACTCTGGAATGATGAAAGTAACATACTGCTATATTCTTGACATTCGCGAACGAGTCCAAGGTGAAACTGAAGAGCAGTCAGACTTGTACATCCAAAGCAGAGCTCAACATACGTCTCATATGATAAAACTACAAGGACGTGTCAGAAGGCAAGATCACAGAGCGTCGAGTCACATACCTATTCCGATAACTGACAGACACAGAAAAGTCAGAAGGGACCGATTGAAAGTTCAGAGAAAGCCTACCGAAGCCAACTGTCACGACAGATATCTGTTATCCTGATCAGCACTGAAAATCAGAGTAATAAAGAAACCTACAACAAGATATCCAAGTACTCCACGGTGATAACCGCCAACTGAGGGGACATTAGATGAGATTCCGACCAAGGGAAGAGTGATACTGACGAAGCCAGACGCGGTAGGCGTACAAGCTTGGATAGAGTTAGTTCAGGCTCCAACTATTGACGCTAAAAACTACCATTGGACAACCAGGATGATGATAACATTGACAAGTACACCGCCCTTGTATATGATGAGCTTGATCCCTGCCAAGCAGGAGAGACAAGTACCTTAACGGACCTGAAAAGGTGTCTGAATAAATGGATGAAGATCGGATGGACAGACTCACCATACGATGTTCTGGTCATATTTGCCAAAGCCAGTCACCAAGTAGTGATAAACGGTATGTAGTGCGAAAACAAGATGCAGAGCATCGAGACTCCTGCATAGATATGTAAGTCACCGAGTTTATCGCGCGATCCACAACAACTTACCAAAGTACACCGACTGAGACCTTGTGCACCCAATAATCTCTTGAGAAGTGGTGGTAATACAGATATGTTTGGAGACTGGTGATGCCAAAAAGCCTGAAAGACGAGTTGAATCCAGTCTCTTGCTGAAACCAGAAAACTTACATGCAGGCAGCTGCCTGCCCGATAAAAACTGCGCCAAGTGTGTTGTCGAGGTCCGCGACTACACCGCTCTGAACTAAGGACATGGTAAAAGGAATGCGAATGGATCCTGGAGACAAGGGAGACGGAAAAAAAGAATATATGGGTGAAATTCCTAATATCGGAGCTAAGTTATAACCCATGCGGGATGGCTCCGTGCACCCGCGTGAGTCCATGACGACAGCCAGAGCAGCAGGTCGATCGATATCACGATGCTCAAGAGCAACCATGCAGCGCATAATGCAAATGTTGAATTGGCCAGAATTCGAGGTCATCGAGCACCGAGATGCTGCTAGATAGAAGCTATCGTCCATAGGAATCCTACCTAGCACATTATAGCAGCCGATATTCACGCTGTGCATGCGAAAAATATAATTTAAGGCAGTGGCAGAAACAAGAGGTTTGATCAGGTTTGATGGAACGTGACACCGATCACCGGCGTTAGCAAAAAACTTGCAGTTGCACAGCAACAAATGCGAAGTTTCCATTCTTTGAATTCTTGTGCCTGGATCTTCAGCAACAAGGGAGCTCAGTGGCCGTTTTCACTGAAGAAAACACTATAAAAACGGGTTCTTCATATAATCTCGAATAGTAGGTCGAAATCGGTACCATTTGCTCTCCGTCTGACATTCGGCGCCCAAGGGCTCAAGAGTCAAGTGGTCTATTTTCACTCTGTTCCGTATATCACTCCAAAATCTCCAGATCTTCGTGGAAATTCCATATCCATATGGCCAATCGCCGCGATATTCTTTTTATCGCTTCTTCTTTTCTGAAGTCGTTTCCTTGAATTCCTCCGGCTGCGAGAGTTCGCCATTTGCCCGGGAAACAGCAAAAAACTTTTTATTTGAGCAATACTATGAATCGAGCGCAACTTGAGGATCCAATACATGAGCTGGTGGCTGAGACATCCAGTACTGAGACACCAGATCTTCCCGTGGACGCAAACGGCTAGGTGCGCCACCATCGCGGCGGTTGATTTGTTGGCGCTAGGCGCAGTATTTTTTCACGTTCAGGTGGTACTCTATATTGATGGGAACGACTGTCTTCACAAAGAAATACTAGAGGCTGACTCGGGAGACTAGTACTCGTCGTCGTCCGCCTTATTTTGCATTGAAATCAGTGGTTATCGCAACTCCCTTTATTAACAATTTTATGCTGTACGGATCCCGACTGACTAGCCAGCAGAATGTAGCCACCGTTCGTCTGGCCAGAGGGGGCTTGAGTCGCAGGGCATAGCTAGAAATTCGGCGGCCGATGGCCAATATCTGGCGGGAAATTATACTTGTATTCGATGGGAGAGCTTTGTACAGAATGCAGCATTGATGCAGATGGATAGAATACAGGGGTCCTGGATAATGGAGTCAGCTTGGAGAGTGAAAAGTTGGATGGTCCATACAGTTTTAGCTCTCTATCCGTTCACTCTTGTCGACCTCGTACAAGACCTCTGTTCGAATCACATATTTGGCTCCCTGAGACACGCCACTTCCCTATTGAAGAGGTTGGATTATGAATCTAGAGAGATATCGGACGAACCTCGTGAAGAAGACTTCCTTGTGCAGCACCATGAGGGAAAACACAGACTGTCCCAATCCGAGGTTTGACGGGTCTCGCTTCCAAGATACCTTGTTGCGAAGAGGGTAAGAAGAAAGTTGTACATCCACCGTCAAAGTCGTCATTGAGGTATATCAAGAATGTTAATCGAGAGTAGACTGCTGGGTCCGAATCGTAGACGTATGACGGAGGAGTTGTCGTTTCATCCAACGCTGACGCTGGCCAAGCACCATCGATCTGGGTCAAGCAATCAGGTCTAGTTTCCAGGGAATTTGATGAGCACATACATGAGGTCTGTACAGTGCTCCGGGACGGTAGCGATACAGGCGAAATCGACGATTGATTCCTTTGACTGCTCCTCCATGGACAGTCTGAGGTAAAAGGTCGACGACGCGACTGTACAAGGTTGAGATAAAGTCAATGTCTGCTAGCCAAATGAAGTTGTGAGCTAGAACAGAAGCGAGTTGAGCAGCAGAACCCGCAATGGGCTCGTCAGGAAGGAGTCCAACATGTTCAGCAGCCTTGACCAAAGCTTCGCATTCGGTCGCTTCGAAAACATCGTTTATAATAAAAGCTCCCGGGACACCACGAATATCGTGTCGACAAGGTTGTCGTGTTCGTTTGGAGACTGGAAGAAGAGGGAAAGAGTTTGGCGGGGAATAATACACGACTGCTGGATGTTTATTTGGTGGACGTCGTTCAGGGCCAGGTGTAATATGAAGTGGTTTTAGAAGATCCAAGGCCTGGTCAGCGACAGCTTCGCTCACGACGCTTGAGGAATCCTCAGGGATAGCCGTGAATGGTTCGAACCATCGTAGACGACTCCCTGCTTTCAGTATGCCCTGAGAATCGTGCAGAGAAGCGACAATATCCGGCTGGGTTGTCCTTAATATGGCGTTAAGGACTTTCCAGACACGGTTTTCCTCTTCCTGGGACATTGAGGGAGTGAGGACTGCGTCACATTCTCGAACCCAACGCTGAAGCGCTCCCAGCTTCGGAACTTGTCCTCTAATTTCCATCTCTGCGAGCAAAACGAGGGCATCGACATGCCGCTGGTCGACAAGGGCAGAAGATATGCGGGAGGTCAAGGATGAGCCTATTAAGATTAACAAGCTTGTCGCTGTTATACAAATTGCCTAAGACAGACCTGTATGTGAGACCTCATTCGCCGCTCT